AAAGACAATAGATAGGCTCAGTTAAGGTAAAGGTTGACCTTCGTCAGGGAATAAATACATGGGCCTAGGAAGTGACTACCTGCTATGACCTGGTCTTAGCTAGAAAGTTTTACTTTCAGAACATCCTGTGTGGTCACTTTCGGTCTCTAAGTTTGTGAAGCTGTCACGCAGGCCTCCTCTGAGCTTCTCAGGATTAGTACGTGGCCCCTTTTTTGTCCACATTTACCTTGCTTTTCCTGCTAACAGAACCTCCCCACCAGCATCTTTCTTTTGTCTGTCCTGGAAGATGCTATTTCAGGTGGTGGCGAGGGCTGCCTCATGGAGTTTACTGTTTTCCTGGGTGTCTCCTGTGCACAAGGTATTCATGCTAATACACTTGTATGTGATTTTTCTCTTCTATCTCTTTGATTTAGGGAGTCTCAGCCAAGGACTCGGGAGGGCAGAGGGAACATTATTTTCCTCCATTCCGTGTGTATGTGCGTTCCATACACACGTGTATATAATTACCTGCTGAAAGGGTTAGTAACGTTTCAAAGGGTAAAGGTAAAAACTTGCAAAAGGCAGAATCCGTGAGGAAGCATTGCTTGCAGGACCTTCGCTCAGCCTTCTGTTGAGTGAGGATTATCGGATTATTCGCAAGACCATGGATCACCCAGCAGATGCAGGACGAGATACCAGACCAGTCCACCTGCAAAGTGGACAACGGGCCAGGGAGAGGACGTCAGCAGGAACTGCCGGAAGCTATAAGTAGAGTATGTAACCTACACCCCAACTGTTATTCAAAGCTCACCCCTTTTCGGCTCAGCCCGCCTGCACCCAGGCGCATGCAATAACATCGTTTTGCCTATATTGGCCTTGCGGTATGAATGTGATCTCCCGCCAGCTCAGACCTTTTACTTACACACACACATAAGTGGATACAATTTTACAAAACTGGGCTTGGATACAGCTGATGTCAATAAATAGAACTACAACATTGTGCCCTGGCCGGTTTGGCTCAGCGGTTGGAGCGTCGGCCTGCGGTCCAGAGAGACCCGGGTTCGGTTCCTGCTAAGGGCATGTACCTCGGTTGCAGTTTGTCCCCGGCCCTGGTTGGTCGTGCGGGTGGCAGCCACTCGATGTGTCCCTTCACATCAATGTTTCTCTCTCTCTCTCTTCCTCTCTCTCCCTCCCGCTCTATCTGAACAAAAAATGAAAAAATGTCCTCGGGTGAGGATAAAACAAACAAACAAAAAAAAAGAACTACAACATTGTTATAGTCGTGGCCTGCATGATATTTCCTGGGGAGGAGGCACTGATTATCTGCAAAGTTGTGACTGATAACCTTTTAAGTATCTTTTATCGTTTTTTGTTTTTACTTCTGTATTCGTGCTGTGAAAAAGCAAAACTCCATGGAATAAATGCAAAGAAGAGCTAATGGGCTTTGTTTTAAGCAATTCATGAAGAGGGGCAGCATCCCATCTAGCCACTAGGAGGGTGTTCAGAGGGGTGAACAAAATGGAGAGTTTTTATAGGAAGAAGATGAGGGTGAGGGAGCAAATGAAAGGAAAGGTTTGTTTTTAGACCAGGACCTGTGGTTTGGGGAGAAAGAAATGGCCAGGGATTTAGCCATTTAGGGAGATTACCTTTTCTTTCTTTGGGGAGGTAGTGGGGACGGAGAGGGCCCAGAGGACAGATCGTCTCTTTGGGGTTGGCCAGGAAATTCCAGACTGCTTGATTATCTTTCAAGGAGAGGCTGAAACAGCACTCACGTAGGCCAGCCATTCAGTCTAGGTTTATCGTCACGGACTTTAGTGTGTGGGGCCATTATGGGCCTGTGGTTTTCTCCTTAACATTGTATGTATCATCACGGGGCAAATTTCCATAAACGTTATCCTTGGATCAAAGGCAAACGTCACAGTTTGATAGAAATTGTCAAGCTGTCCTTCAGAAAGAACCTTCACCTGAGGTTCCCAGACTCACGGACGGGCTTGCGTGGCAGGGTGTGTGCGTGTGCATGTGCGTGTGCGTGCACGTGCCTCCAGGTTCTTCAGATCACTTGCACATTTTATTGGAGAGAAGCCGGTACCTCCTCTGTTTCCCAAAGGGGCCTGGACACAGAAGAGCTAGTATTTACTGAGTCGATGTGCCAGGCGCCGAGTGAAGCATGTCATTCGCTTTCCCATCGAGCTTTCTCTCCACGTTTTACAGGAAGTCTCCCTACTGTCTACTGTCTGTCCCGCAGACCTCAGATGTGTCAATGCTTGGCTTCCCCTGCCCACCAGATGACAGGCGAAGTCCTTGGCGTCCACACAGGCCCAACCCCCGTCCACCTCTGTCTCTCTCATCATGGTTTGAAAACTGCCACTCCCATCAAACTGACCTGCTCACCTTCCCCATGCAGACTTGGACTGCGCTCCCTTTTTTTACTTTTTTTTATCCTCACCCGAGGATGTTTTTCTATTTATCTTCAGGTAGAGAGAGAGGGAGAAAAAGGGAGAGAGAGAGAAACATCGACGTGAGAGGGACACATGGACTGGTTGCCTCCCGCACCACACTGACCAGGGCCAGGGACGAACCGTAACCGAGGTACGTGCCCTTGGCTGGAATCGAACCCGGGACTCATTGGCCCGCGGGCTGATGCTCTACCGCTGAGCCAAACTGGCCAGGGCTCCCCTTTATTTATTTATTTATATTTTAAATTAATTTTTTTTATCCTCACCCGAGGACATTTTTCCATTTTTTGTTCAGGGAGAGTGGGAGGGAGATAGAGGAAGAGAGAGAGAGAGAGAAACAAAGATTTGAAAGAGACACATCGAGTGTCTGCCACCTGCATGACCAACCAGGGCCGGGGACAAACTGCAACCGAGGTATGCGCCCTTAGCGGACACTGAACCCGGGTCTCTCCGGACTGCAGGCCGACGCTCTAACCACTGAGCCAAACCGGCCAGGGCTCCCCTTTATTTATTAAAACCATTTTTTTCTTTATTGATTTTAGAGACAGAGGAAGGGAGAGTGAGAGGGAGAGAGAAACATAGATGAGAGAGAACATTGATTTGCCACCTCCCGCATGCCCCCCACTGGGGATCAGGCCCATAACCTGGGCATGTGCCCTGACTGGGAATCACCTAAGCGGCAACCCCTTGGTGCATGGGTCAAAGTTCAGTCACTGAGCCACACTGGCCGCCTGCCCTCCCCTTTAAATTCTGCTGTTTCATTTGAATTGATCGTCCCCTGAACTAGAGCTTCTAGTAGCATTCTCTGGGCTGACATGAATTTAGGAATAAATCCTTAATCTTATCTTGAAAGAGCTTGTTTGTTGAGTTCCTTAAATATTTCCCTGTTATTTTTCAGGATATTGGCTCCCCGGCTCTCCCAGGATAACAGGGGTGTTCATCATGGCTGGCGCCTCGGTCTGCCCTGGTTGTTTTCTCTCCTGGTACAGTTCCCTGTACTGACAGATGTTTTAATAAATCTTTTATTTTTTGGAGGGAGGAAGAAGTTATTTGTGGCTAGCCTGCCACTGACTATTTAAAATTCATGTGTCTGCATTTCAAGATTAGCTCACACTTGCCGCAGGGACTTGTTTCAATGCAAAGTGTCACATGATAGTACTGTCAACACTGGAAGGGAAATAAAACTCCATCAACCTGCCGCAGATATGGTTACAAGCGACCGTGCCAAACAGGGCATATATCTGAATGAAATTCCAGCCTCTGCCAGGATTATCTCTGGTTTTATCATGAGATGGCCATGCTAAAACCAGAGACTGTGTTATTCCTTCCTTTGGACGAGGCATTTATCAAACCTCAAAAAACAAAAACCAAACAAAACCCCACCCCCCCAAAAAAATAGAGAATTGATTCAGATTAAAAAAAAAAAGATTTATTTGTTAAGTGTCATCTGCTAAAAAGTAAGTAATACGAGAAGGGTTTGAGAAACATGGGAAGCAAATATACCCACTGTAAGGCAATCTTTTTAAAAATTTATTTTCCAATTACAGGGGACATCCAGTCTGTCAGTTCCAGGTGTGTCGTGAGCGACCTCGTGTTGAGAAGCAGGTGAGACTGGAACCGTGACGCAGGTGCCCTGGCTAGGGCCATGAAGGCTGCTGTCACCTCTGGTGCTGGGCGGAGGGTGAGCACCCACGGGCCCTGTTGGCAGAGGCTGTGGCTGTGAGTCCGGCACTGGCCTTGTCGGTGCCTGGGGTGCAGCGGGCTGGACGCACCAGCCTTTCGCTTCCCAAGGCACCTGGTTAGGCCGCACAAGGGTCTTGGCGTCAAGCAGGAGGTCCTTGGATGCCAGAGCCAGGAGCCTGGTCTGAGACCCTGCTCTGCACCAGGACCACCGCACTGGCTCCCCAGGGGTCAGGGTCACGCTGCCCGTTCCACGCCAGCTCCCCAGGGCCAGGGGTCCTTCTTTTTAAAAAAATTATCATTTTTTATTTTTATTCCTCACCTGAGGGTATTTTTCTACTTATTATCAACAGATTGGAAGGGAGGGAGAGAGAGACAGAAACACTGACATGACAGAGACACATGGAGTGTCTGCCTCCAGCACCACCCGACCGGGCCGGGGACAAACGCAACCAAGACACGTGCCCTTGACTGGAACCGAACCCCAGAGTCCCTGGTCCGCAGGCCGACACTCTACCTGCTGAGCCGAACTGGCCAGAGCTAGCATTGTTAATTTTAAATTTTATTTCCTTTTTGATTTTAGAGAGAGAGGGAGAGAGAGAGAGAAACATCGATGAGGGAGAACATGGACTGGCGTCTCCTGCAGGCCCCCCACTGGGGATCAGGCCCACAGCCTGGGCATGTGCCCCGACCGGGAATCGAACCGGCGACCTCTTGGTGCAGGGTCGACGCTCAACCTCTGAGCCACACCACTGGGCCAGGGGTCCTTCTTTTGTGGGAGCCCAGCTCCCCAGGCTCAGAGGTGACTCGTTAGTGGGACCCCAGGACCCAAGGGTCAGAGGTCATTTAGCCTGACCACAGCTCCCCTGGGTCAGGGATCATCCTTCAGCCTGGCCCCAGCTGCGCATGCTCAGCGCGGTCTCCAGCGAGGTGCGCGTGGTGAGCCTGGAGGCGCGGGGGCGGCGCGACACGCGCGTGGCGGCCCCCTAAAACCCGGCGCGGACCGCGGACCACGGGCCTGCAGCGCGAGCCCGGCCCCGGCGCCCCGGTGTCCCCGGAGCCGCCGCCAGGCCCCGCGGACGCCGCGCGGCCCAGCCGTCCAGAACGTTCGGGAAGGCCGGGGCGGTCAGGGCGCATGCGCGGCGGCCGCCGGCGGAAGTGGACGCGGCACGCCGCCGGCGCGTGACGCACTTCCTGTTTGTTGTTGGAGAAAGGAGAAAGGAAAGCGCGAGGAGCCGCCGCCGCCGTCACCAGCGCCGCCGCGCAGGAGCCGAGGAGCCCGGGCTGCCGCCGCTGCCTTCCCGCCGCCGGGCCCGCGTCCTGGTGAGGGCCGCGCCGGCGCCCGCGGCGGGGCGGGGGGCCGGGCCGGGGTGCGCTGCGGGGCGGTCGGGCGCCGGCCGGGGGCGCCGGCGGGGGGCGCGGCTCCGAGTCCAGGCCGGTCGCCTTCCCCGGGGACGCCGGCGGTTGGGGCGGGGCGGGCGGCGGCGGGACTGTCCTCGCCCCGCGCCCGGCTCCCGGAGTCAGGCTGCCCGAGGGGACGAGGAGGCGCCGGGCCGGCCGGACGCGGGGCGCTTCCACCGCCGTCCCCCGGCGGCCCCGGAGTTCGCGCCGAGCCGCGCGGCCCCACCTGCACGCCCGTGTCCGCCGGTGCGGCCGCCGAGTCGCGCTGCCCGGCGGGAGGGCGGGAGGCGGGCGCCCGCGCGGGGGCTCGGCGGCTCGGGGCCTCGGGCCCGGCGCGCTGCTCGCCGCCCGCAGGCGGAGGCGCCGCGGGAAGGTCACCCCTCCGCCGGGCCGCCCGCGAGGAGGCCGCACGGCGCGCCCCTTGCGGCCCGGCCCCGGGCGAGGAAACTCCGGGGGCCGCGAGGGCTGTGGGCGCGGGGACCGTGCGGACCTGCGGGGCCTTCACGGGTTTGAGGAGCCAAACTGCCCACAGCGTCCGCGAAGCGCGTCCTCCGCGGGCGGGAAGGGGAGGCCGGGACCGGGGCGGTTTCCCAAGAGGAGGCCCGGAGCCCGCCGGTGGGGCGAGGCTGGGGGCCCCCCCCCAGAAGGCGCAGCGGGGAAACCGGGTTCCCCCCAGCGGGGTGCGGGGAGCTCGATAACCATGACAATGGGGATTTGTGGCCTCTGCCCAGTGGGGCGCCGCAGTGAGGGCGGTGGGGGCGGGGAGGCAGTACTTGGTGCGCACAGAGGCTTGCTGTGCGGGGTCTGTTGTCCTAGGTGCGGAGCCCGCGCGGAAGCCTGACCTTTGTTAGGGAAGAGCACAGCCGAGGACGCGACTGCCGCCCGGACTGCTTTTCCTTGAACAGCTCTGACCTGACCTGGCCTGGCCGTCCCGCGTGGTCACCCCGCGTGGTTACCTCGGGCCCTGCGTTTGCGAGGCCCCCACCCCGGCCGCCCCGGCGTGTCCGGTTAGCGTGCGGCCCTTTTCCTCCGCCGGGGAAACACACATCCTTGGTTCGGACTTGTCAGATGATGGCTCTTCAGGTTTAATCACAGATTTTAAAAAAGAATCGTGAGTGTCAGAAGTGTGTAAGGAATTAGGTGTTTCTTTTCTCCCCACCTTCCCCAGGCCACCCCACCCCCTGGTTTTCTGGAAGTTGAATCCTGCTGCTCTTGTTTCCCATGAGAGATTGGGGCCCCGTGGGGTCAGGACACTGCCCCGATGAGCAGGTGAGTGCGCCCCTGTGCACACCACCTGAGGAGCCGGGAGTTTTTGGGTTATGCAGAACATGAATTTGGGGAGGTGTGTATGACTTGACAGGAAGTGGGAGGGGGAAGACATGGGCTTAGTGTGGAGCTGCAGATAGAACTCGGGGGAATTCAGAGTCTTTAAAAAAGAATGTCAGATGAGTTCGAAACTGGATTTGAAAGTGGTAGATTGGGGAGGTGTTTCTGGCTGTAGGACAGGACAGGGAGTGTTGAGTAATACTCTGAACTGGGTTTTGTCTGATGCTTGCAGCTGAGGTGCATACAAGAGCTTTCCTATTTAAGCAAACCCATTATTTTTAGTGGTAGAACCAAGAACATTTTCTCTTGTAACAACTGTTTTGGACAGTTTCAAACATACAATTGTGCCAGGTCACCATTGTCAACTTTTCTGCCTGGGAAACTAAAAATCCACGTTTACACTGGGGTGGCCGCTCTCTTTGTTTGAAAAACAATTTAAAAGGTTACTTTAAAATTTGGCAAATATATACATATTTTTTAAAACATATATTTGTTGTTCAGATAGAGTGGGAGGGAGATGGAGGAAGAGAGAGAGAAACATCGACGTGAAAGGGACACATCGAGTGGCTGCCTCCCGCACAACCAACCAGGGCCAGGGCCAGGGACAAACTGCAACCGAGGTACATGCCCTTAGTGGAACCGAACCCGGGCTCTCTGGACCGCAGGCCAATGCTCTAACCGCTGAGTGAAACTGGCCAGGGCTACACATATTTTTTATTATTTTTTCATTATTGATTTTAGAGCGAGGAAGGGAGAGGGAGAGATAGAAATACTGATAAGAGAGAACATCGACTGGCCCCCTCCTGCACGCACTCGACTGGGGATCAGGCCCACAACCTGGGCGTGTGCCCTGACCTGGAATCAAACCAGTGACCTCTTGGTGCATGAGTTGACGCTCAGCCACTGAGCCACACAGGCTGGACGGATTGATCATGTCACCATAGAGGTGGTGCCTGCTTCTTCCTGGGGGTGAAGGTCAGCTGCTGTGTTGGTCAGTGCTCAAGGGTGATGGTGCAGTGCCTCTGCTGTCTTTGCTGAGGATGTAGTGGACAGGGTCAGCCCTTGTTTTGTGAGTTGATATTTTAACAGGATTTTTAGAAGCTTTCTTTTTGCTTTTTCACTTCCTTGGAAATGAGGGGAGTTTAGGATGGTGGTGTGTTAAAAACCTGGTTGGGTTTAAATTTGTCCAGGACACCACCTCGTGGTGCAAGGCTGGTAACTGCAGGCTCCTTTGTGAACCAGGATGGGGTCAATGGCAAGATTCAACAAGTTCTGCAGTTTCTCTTTGAGTAGAATTTGGGAGAACTTCAAACTCGAAAAAAGGGAAAGAGGTAAATGAGAGCAGCAGAAGTAGCAAAGATAAGAACACTGGAAATGGTGATACAGACACGGAAAGACAATTTTAAAGCCTAATTGGGGAAATGACTTACTGGATAAGTCAGGTAGTAAAAACTTGATGATTTTTTATTATGTTTTTTATTATAAAGTATTCTTTCCAAACTTTGTGTTTTTAGGGGGACTTAAAAAAATCACAACTGACTTCTTTTGTTTTCGTAGCCTACGTAAGAAGTGAGTTTAAAGAATCCTTTTAGCCTGGTTGGTGTGGTTCAGTGGCTGAGCGTCAACCCTGCACCAAGAGGTTGCCGATTTGATTCCTGGGCAGGGCACATGCCCAGGTTGTGGGCCAAATCCTCAGTGGAGGGCGTGCCAATCGATGTTCTCTCTGATCCCTGTTTCTATCTCTCTCTTCCTTTCTCTATAAAGGCAATGAAAGAAAAAATCGTTTTAAAGTGGGGACATTAATTTCTGAAAAAGTAGTTAAATTTCTAAGGTTTACAGTATATGTCAGAACAGAAGTTTTTGTCTTTATATTATAGTTTTGCTCCCTTATTTCAAAAGCTTTATGTTATTTAGATATAGTTATTTAGACATAGTTCACAGTGGTAGCTGTTGTTTATGGCCGGGAGCAGAACTGTCCGTATATCCCAATACTCCAACTAGTAGGGTTCTTTATTTGTCCCCCACCCCTGCCCTCTGACAACCATCCTTTCCTTCTGTATGGGTCTGTTTCTTGTTGATTCATTCGTTTGTATTCAGGTTCTACATGTTGTATCTGTCTGACTTAGTACAATGCCCTCTAGGTCCTCCCGCGTCACAAATGGCAAGATTCCATTCTTTGTGGCTGACTGATAGTCCATTGCATACCTGTCCACTGCACACGTCCGTCCATGGGGGACACCTAGAATGCATCTGTATCTTCCCTAGTGGATTCATAGGCTCAGTTGCAAGTGTCAGTTGTCTTTGGGAGGGTGATTTTCTCAGGAAGAATGTGGTCTTGTGCCCTTTAAAATTCTGCCCCCCCCCCCCCCCCCCCCCGCATTTAGAATTTGTCTCATGTTTGTGTGGTGCTGGGCAACCTGTGCATTCCTCAGGGCAGGCCTTATTGTCCCAGCCAGAGTGCTCAGAAAATGCTGGTTGGATTGGCTCGTGCTACCTGCTTTGTCTGCTTTGATTTCCCTTCTGCAGTTAACAGTGGCCTTCAGAGTTCAGGATAGTTGAGTTCAGAAATACCAGAGACAGTACTTGCTGTCTGTTCTATTTTATTTTATTTTTTTTATCCGCACCCGAGGACATTTTTCCATTCTTTGTTCAGGTAAAGTGGGAGGGAGAGAGGGAGGGAGGGGGAGAGAGGGGAGAGAGGGAGGGGGAGGAGGAGGGAGGGAGGGGGAGAGAGAGAGAGAGAGAGAGAGAGAGAGAGAAATATCAACGTGAAAGGGACACATCAAGTGGCTGCCACCCACACGACCAACCAGGGCCGGGGACAAAACTGCAACCGAGGTACGTGCCCTTAGCGGGAACCGAACCCGGGTCTCTCTGGAACGCAGGCCGACGCTCTAACCGCTGAGCAAAACTGGCCAGGGTGTGTTCTATTTTATTTTAATGAGGGGAATCTAACAGGTGACAGTGGTCGCCATCCTGAGTCATAGAGGGAAAATTTTCCTTGTGTTTCAGGAGTGCTCTAGGGGATATTGGGTAAGAACAGAGTGTTCAGGTGCATGAGCTGGGACGGTGGGTGGCAGCGCTTGGCCATGCTTGCTCTCTGCTTGTGTGTGCTCTGGGCAGTTGCTAGGTGGTGAAAGGGCGCTTGGAAGCTGCTCCAGCTTGTCCTCGTCTTTTTTTGGTCGGTACCGCTAGCGGGAACCAAACCCCGGGACTCTCTGGTCCTCAGGCCGACGCTCCAACCGCTGAGCCAAACTGGCCAGGGCTCTTCTTCTTTTTAAATATGTTTTTATTGCCCTTTTTTTTTTTTTTTAAAGAGAGGGGGGATGGGGGAGAGGGATGGAAACATTGATGTAAAAGACATAGATTGGCTGCCTCCTGCACGCCCCCTACTGGGGATCGAGCCCGCAACCTTGGGCATGTGCCCTGACCCGGAATTGAACCGGGACCTCGCAGTCCATGGGATGACTCTCAGTCCACTGAACCACACCGGCCGGGCCAAGTTTGTCATTTCTTTTTAAACATTTTGCCTACTTTCATTCCAGTAGTATCGTGAGCAATTAGTTAAGATGCCATTATAGGAATTAAACACTGAAAAGATATTTTACTTGAAATGGCCTCTTTCTGGGTTAATAGAAGTGATACTTGTTTTATCAAGCTATTTTTTTTTTTTTTTATCCTCACCCGAGGATATTTTTCCATTTTTTGTACAGATAGAGTGGGAGGGAGAGAGAGGAAGGGAGAGAGAGAGAGAGAGAGAAACATCGATGTGAAGGGACACATCGAGTGGCTGCCACCCGCACGACCAACCAGGGCCGGGGACAAACTGCAACCGAAGTACGTGCCCTTAGTGGGAACCGAACCCGGGTCTCTCTGGACTGCAGACCGACGCTCTAACCGCTGAGCCAAACTGGTCAGGGCTTATCAAGCTATTTTTAAGATAAAGATAGGGAATGTCTTCAATGGGCTTGTGATTCTTTGAATTATGTTAAACTGTACAGTGAGGAAACATCTGTGGGTGGATAGTAGCGACAGGCTTTCCAGAAGAGGGAGCTTTGCCCCCGTTTCGCCTCCAGCCTACAGAGTGGAAAGAGCTAAGGAGTTAGTTTTTTCAAGTGGAGCAAGGTTCCTTTGATTCTAGATGGAGAGAGGTGTGAGAAAGGTCTTGTGGGCTGGAAAGGTGGTTACTTTTGTCCAGTAAGGTCATTTGTGTGAATGATCAAGATTTGTGATATAGAGTAGCAGAAGGCCTCAGAATATGGAGATGCCTCAGTCCCCACACCAAGCTTGGGGAATTTAGGGCTCTGCAAGGCCTTCGAGAGGGATGTATTGGTAACAGTCATGTTGGGCACATACTGGATTCTTTTAAGTTTCATTAAGAACATAGGGGAGCCCTGGCCAGTTTGGCTCAGTGGTTAGAGCGTCAGCCTGTGGTCTAGAGAGACCCGGGTTCGGTTCCCGCTAAGGGCATGTGCCTCGGTTGCGGTTTGTCCCCGGCCCCGGTTGGTCGTGTAGGTGGCGGCCGCTCGATGTGTCCCTTTCACGTCGATGTTTCCCTCTCTCTCTCTCTCTTCCTCTCTCTCCCTTCCACTCTATCTGTACAAAAAATGGAAAAATGTCCTCGGGTGAGGATAAAAAAAACAAACAAACAAACAAACAAACAAAAAAAAGAACATAGGGGAGCCCGGTTGGTTTGGCTCAGTGGTTAGAGTGTCGGCCCACAGACCAGAGTCACGGGTTCAATCCCTGGCCTAGGACACGTATCTCATTTGCAGTTCAACCCCTGGGCCTGGTCAGGGTCCTGCGGGAAGCAACCAATCGATGTGTCTCTCTCACATTGATGTTTCAACACCCCCCCCCCCCAATCTCTCTATCTCTCCCTCCCACTCTGTCTGAAAATAAATGGAAAAATATCCTTGGGTGAGGATTAAAAAAAGAACACGGGGCGTGAAGGTGACCAGGAGGTCTGGGGTCCTGTGCAGGGCTTGTCTAGTCCTTCAGTGATGCACAGATAGAAGTGAGTGTTGGTTTTGTTGGGAGATCTGGGCACTTTTCTTCTCAGATTAGACTGACTTTACCCAGAATTTTACCTTCAAGAACTAGTGATAAAACATTTAAATGCATGTAGTACTATTTCATTCACCCGTAGAGTAGTTGCAGGAGATGTGCTGGCTGATTGCACTCTGCCCCTTAGAGCCCGTGCCCCATGTTGATGGGTGTCCACACCTGTGACAGTGACCGGGCCCAGTGACGGTGCCAGCATCAGGAGTGGCGTGCGCCTGTGGGCTCCTGCCTTCCCCTCACAGACCAAGCATCTTGGGTACTGGGTGTGTGTACCCCGGTTCGTTTTGTATTTATGATTGTGAGACCTATTTAGGGAATGCAAGTGTTGGGTGGGCAGAGAGGGCGGTTGTTGACATGCAGATTGGGAAGAGAAAGTGCTTCCCACGGCTGCATCTGCTGTGAGGACAGACGTCTCTGCTCCAGCAGTGTCTCCAAACAGGAGCAGAGTGGAGTCCTGGCCCCTGCTGCCGAGCTCAGGTGCAACCAGCCCATGCTCACTGTGGGGCCAGTGAACGCTGCAAGCTTCTCCTGGGGGGAGGACTGGATCAGCTGTGTCGAGTCCAGCCGCTGTGGTGTGTGGTCACATTTTAGTACTTTGCTAATTTGGCGTGGTCACTCAGAATGCATCTTGTTAAGTGGATAAGAGGCTTTGGGTTTGCTTCTAGATAAATGTTTGCATTGGTCACCGGAGGTGCTTTGAAGCGCGGGTGCACAGGCTAACATGCTATGGGCGAAATAGCCTCTTTTGGAATGGGTCTAGGGACCCTCACTTGGACAGGTTCCATTTCTCATGCCTACTAATGGGTCGGCTGCCCTCTTGGTAGGTTGTGTTTGCATGAGCGCCTGTGTTCTCCGGAGCTCGCATGCCCACAGATCGGTGCCTGCTCTGCGCTGAGCCTGAGTCTTCAGGGTCCTGAGCTGCTCTCAGTCGTGTGCAGAAGTGTGAGTGGTGCAGAATGGGAGTTGGTGCAGTCTATGGATCACAGGCAGTGTTTTTGTTTTTAAAAAGATGTGTACGTTTTTTCAGAAGACCTAATTTTTTAAAATAATTTTTCTTTATTGATTTTAGAGAGAGGAAGGAAAAAGGAGAAAGAGAGAGAGACATCAGTGAGAGGGAACATCAGTCAGTTACCTCCTGCATGCCCCCCACTGGGGATTGGGCCCACACCCTAGGCATGTGCCCAGGCTGGGAATCAAACTGGTGACCACTTGGTGCATGGGTTAACACTCAACCACTGAGCCCCACTGGCCAGGCCAGAAGACTTTTTTTAAAATGGATTTTTAGAGGGAGGGAGAGGGAGAGAGAAACATTGATGTGAGAGACTATCCTGCACGCCTCCTACTGGGGATCAAGCCTGAAACCCAGGCACAGGATGACACCCAACCAACCCTGGCCAGCTAGGGTGATGTCTACATTATCTGATGCAGAAATTTCTACCCTTTACCTAGAGCGATGAAGAGGCAACTCTCACTGGAGCGCCTGTGTCTGTCTGCCTGAGGGCCTTGCTCCAACAGCAGTGTGTAACCTGAGACCAGATACCCCACTCCTGGGCTTCAGGGTTCCCATTTTCCCAGGGAAAGGAGGACAGACAGCGGTGTCCACCTGGTGTGCAGACTGCTGCTGGACACAGTAAGGGCTTAAGTATTAGCCATGCCGGGACACATAGTTACTATGCCCTCTGCTCCATGGTCATTTTTCATTTTAAAATGAAAAAATGTGAGCCCTGCCTGGTTTGCTTCAGTGGTTAGAGCGTCGGTCCACAGACTGGATAAGGGCACGTACTTGGGTTGCAGGTTCCATTCCTGACCCTGGTCTGGGTCATGTGGGAGGCAACCAGTGTGTCTCTCTCATTGATGTCTCTCTCGGGGGGGGGGGGGGTGTCTCTCCCTCTTTCCTTCCCTTCCACTCTACCTGAAAATCAGTGGAAAAATATCCAAAGGGGGTGCGGGGATTGTGGTCTGTCAGTAGTATTTTTTCTAAAATTGCCCTGCCGGTACCTGGACCATTGAAGTGCTTCTGCAGTGTCAGTTGGTGCACAGGCCTGGTGCCTGCTTTCCAGCCCCCAGTCCTCTCGTCTCCAGTCTCACTTTTTTTTCTGGTTCTTTGTGTGTGGGTGTTTTTTCCTCTTGATAACATACTCGTGCATCTTTTTAAAAAAATTTGTGTGTGCTCGATATACAGCATTGTGGATTGAAGGTGTACAGGGTGTTGGTTTGATGCGTTTATCACAACACGATTACTACAAAAGATCAGCTAATACCTTTATTACATTGCACAGTTATATTTTGTGTATTATGTCATATGTTTATTTGTCCAGTTCAACTCTGCCTGCTGTATGAGTTTAAACAGTAAGAGATACTAATTTTTTTAATTTACTTTTTAATAGTCACCTGAGGATATTTTTTCCATTGATTTTCAGATAGTGTGGGAGGGAGATAGAGAGAAACATTGATGTGAGAGAGACATTGATTGGCTGCCTCCCGCACTACCCCGGCTAGGGCTGGGGATCAACCCCAACCGAGGCACGTGTCCTTGACCAGAATTGAACCTGCGACTCTGTCCGTGGGCTGACACTCCAACCACTGAGCCATACAATACTGATAAGCTTTTCAATGGAAACGGAAGATCTGACTTCTATTTTTACATAACGTGTGGTGTGTGAGCCAACCTGTGCATGAGATGCCACGCTTCAGGGAGTGGCCGCGAGCTTCTGAGCATCACCTCCTTCCTGCTGTCCCTGCTCTGACGCAGACACAGGTCTCGTTTGGACATTTTATTACTGTTACTTCTCCCACGCAGTCGTAGCTTTCCTTCATGTAGAAGGCCACCTGCCTTGTCCTTAAGTGACCTTTTCAGGTGCACCTGTGCATCTATCTACACCACTGCCTGAAAACCCTTCTGCTTACGTGCTCAGATTCTTCTTGGATTGTCTCCTCTGCCTTGAGCCCCTGCAGGTCCGCTTCATACTGAAACCCTGCCGCCCTTCCCTCCCGTGGGCTTCTGCGTAGTTCTGTCTGCACACGCTGCTGCTGTCGCGTGATTTGCCTCATCTGTTCCTGGGAGTGTCTTGGTTTTCAGTCTTTGGGATCACACCAGTGATCTTTTAAACTATGTCTGTTTATGCCCTCTCTCCAACAGTACGTGTTTGTCTTAATTGTGTGTGACTAATTGGCTTACATGTTTGTTTTCTCTTAAACCTGGTGACTTATTTCCAAAGCTAGCATATGGTGGTTATAAAGAGGAAATTTGTATGATTGAATTCATTCAGCATAACATTATTGGTTCTGTTGAGAGTGTATATGTTGCTGGGAGAACTGGCATTAAGATTTTGATGGGTTGGAATAAGGGGCCAACATAACCAAGGGGAAGTTCTGGGGCAGGCTGGGAGGCCGCTCAGCCAGGCTCACGTTCATCGTCGGATCTGGTCTGTTTCCCCGGAGAGGTGACAGGGACTGGTTGAGTTCAGAAGGAGAGATACAGTCAGTCGTCTTACCTGTTGTTGGTGACCATTGGACTGTCCCCAGAGTGCCTCTGTTGGATTCTGGGCACTAAGAATCGCAGCCTTGGAGCTAGCTCAGGGCCAAGCAGGACAGGACCAGGCATTGTTCTTAGGAATGGCCGAGAGAGGTGAGGCGCCCGCTGAGAGTAGAAAGTCAGTGAAGGAGGAGAAACTCGCCTGCCTCGTGTGACTGGACAAGGACCAGGGGGAGAGGGTCCCAGGAGAGCCGCTGGCTGTGGCTGTTCACGTGTCTGGCTGCTCCGGGTGTGCAGCCCGAGAAGGTTGGGTGTGATGAATGTTCTTGCAGTGGGGCTGCTTCATGAAGCAGAGTGTGGGCTGGACTTACCGGCTTCATTTAATAGGGCTGCTCAGGCTGCTGTTCAAGTCTGCACTGTGGGAACCCAAGGTAATCTGTTCCAGCACTTCTGACCTGTCAGCAGGGCGTCTGACGGGAGCACTGGGTCAGGGCTGGTCGCAGGTGCAGTTCCTGCAGGAGGGCGGGGCGGGACCACGTCTCCCTGCTGGTCCGCACGCTCACATTCGCTCCTGCCCGGCAGCTCCGGCAGCTTTCTTCCTGTGGCCTTTTGGCATGACTGTACTTGTTTGATTTACATTAAAAAATATCATTTTAGCCTGGCCGGTTTGGCTCAGCGGTTAGAGCGTCGGCCTGCGGTCCAGAGAGCCCCAAGTTTGGTTCCTGCTAAGGGCATGTGCCTCGGTTGCAGTTTGTCCCCGGCCCTGGTGGTCGTGCGGGTGGCAGCCACTCGACCCTTTTATGTGTCCCTTTCATGTTGATGTTTCTCTCTCTCCCTCCCCACTCTGTCTGAACAAAAAATGGAAAAATGTCCTTGGGTGAGGATAAACACACACACACACACACACACACAATTTTAGACTTACAGAAGAGTTGTAAGGATGGTGCCGTGATCTACCCGTGTGCCTTTCACCCAGCTTTCCTGTTGACTACACCTCCATCTCTCTGGGTCTCTGTGCCCGACCCTTTCTGCTCCAGCAGCCTGGACGGCACTCAGCTGTCTCCCCTCAGTCCCTCCAGGCTGCTGTACTCCGCAGCACTCCTGTGTCTTCACCAGGCCTGTAGTCTTGCAGCTTCTCGCCTGACCCATGTCCTGGTTCATCCTGTACCCTAGACATAATGTGAGCAAGATGGTTGCTTTTACTCTACTTACTCTAACCCAGTAGAGGTGACAGCACGGAGGTGTGGGCTGTCCTGCAGTCCCCACACTTGAATCCGGCGCTCACTGCCGTTGGACTGAGTGTCCTTCACAGCTGGCTTGTCTGTGCTTTTGGTGATCTCTCCCCTAGGCTGGGGGGGGAGGTGCGCTCGAGCCAGCAGGCTCTGCAGGGTGTCAGGGTGGAGATGCAGGTGACATGGAAGACCATGGGGAAAGGGATGGGGTTTGAGATAGTTTGCTGGAGACGAGGCAGAACTGGATTACCTCACTTGGTACGTGGGAGTGGAGCGATGGTGGTGGTGGTGGAATTTGTAATCATGCAGCTTGGGAGCTCAAGGTAGAATTTACTGGAGAAAAACCAGGTAGGAGTGGGGAGGGTCAAGAGTTAGGTTTGTTCATGTCTATTTGGGATGTCTGTCAGGGGTCCAGATGGCTGCGTCAAGGAGCCATCTGTCTGTCCATGTGACGTGCCCAAGAGGGACCTAGGACTGAAGCTTCAGGCTGGGAATCGTTGCTAAATAAATGCTGTTGAGATAATGGGGATGCCTGAGCTTTCCCCGCAGGCCATGAGGGGCGCGAGCTGGCAGGAAGGCAACCAGGGACTGCCCAGCCAGAAAGCCCAGCGTGCTCAGGGCTTTGGGAGTCACACAGCACGAGCCCCCAAAATGTCTGCTGGATACTGATGGGGAAGGCTGGCTCTTGAACTTAAATTAGAGCCTGCTTCAGGTGTTGTGTGGGAGGTGGCCAGGTGGGACAAGGGAGTAGAGAAGGGGTCACATTGGCAAAGGGGCGGTGGGGTGTGATTTTGGACTCTTCCCCAGATGATCAGTTTTAATTCACTGGAATTTTCCTCGTGGGTGGTCTTTGTTGAGAAAGAAGTGAAGCGCCAGCCTTGGAGTGCTGCCTGTCCATTGACCATGTTCACAGGACGCCTTAGGGATAGACTAGTCTCCCAGGGATGTTGGATGGTGGAGCTGTGACGCACTCCCCTCCCGGCAGGTGTGTCTCCTGAGTTAGGCCGTCTCATGGCTGCAACAGCTGCTTGGGGGTTCTGGCTGCCGCATGGCCACCATCATTTGCACAGATGTGGCATGTTACTGCAAATACGAGACAGACTGTGGGGATTTCAGAGAACATGGGCTTGGGCTCTGAATTGGTAGCAGTGATGCCTAAGCGTGGCCTCTGACACACAGGATGACTTCTGGCCCTGTGTGGCCCAGCGGTGGTCCAGCTGTCAGGAAGTGTGAGCCTTGTGCAGAGAGCTCTCCCTTCTGTTGTAGCAGTGGGCTGGCTTCACCCCATTGGTCACTGCCGAGATGGCCCACAGGCCCGGGCAGCAGCCACAGAGCTCTCGAGTGAAAGCAGCCATGTGGCGTTCAATCCCTCTGAGCAGAACCAAAGGGATGCTTGTTGTCTGCTGCTTTCTGGCTGCTGTTGAAAGATGGTGCCGTGCTCTTAGTTCCTGAAGATTCCAGATCACTGTGCCTCTGAGGTCCCAGAACCAGCTGCCTGTCCTGTGGCAGCAGTTTCCAGGCGGAGCCCAGTGCTCCACTGCCGACCAGTGTGCTACCAGTGGGAACCCTTCTGTAACTGTTTGCTCATCCCATGTCTTTTAATTGATTGCATTTATTTAATTTATTTTTTAAATCCTCACTTGAGGATATTTTTACATTTATCTTCAGATAGAGTGATGGGGGGGTTGGAAAGAGAGACAGAGAGAAACATCCACGTGAGAGGGCACATCAGCTGGTTGCCTCCCGCATGACCCCTGACCAGGGCCGAGGATGAACCACAACTGAGGTACATGCTCTTGACCGGAATCGAACCCGTGACACATTGGCCTGCAGACCAACGCTCTAACCACTGAGCCTCACCAGCCGGGCTAACTGATTGCATTTAAAGCAGTCTCCCGAGTGCTTCATGCTGAACATGTTTAAACAATGGGAACACCTGCAGTGCACAGCCACCTGCCCAGGCCCCTCCACCGACTGCTGTGCCCTGTTTGGTGCTTCTCACAGCTGATGGGACCTGACTGTCACGTTGGGCGAGTTATAAGAAAAGAGTGGCCCTATCGTTTCTCCCCTGGTCTGTCATTGAAAGCCGTTCTGACGCTCTACTTGAGACATGCGTCTCGGTGTCTGGATGGCAGATTCGTAGTTCGTTCCGTCACTGAGTTTCCTAACCATCTGACATTTCCACTTCCTCCTAGTGTATTTGAGGCTGTACATTTCTTCTCTGGATTTCACTTTAGTCCGCTGTCAAACTGATAAATAATCCTTAGAGACGACCCTTCTTTTCCTCCCAGGATGTGGGAGGGCGAGGTGTGTGGTTCCATGGGGCGTTTGCTCTGGGCGGGACACTTCTTCTGGTGGCCCCGCCGTTGGTGCCTTGTGCAGGGACCCACTGAGGGAGCGAGGTGACATGGGTCTGAGCTGGCGAGGCAGGAGAGCAGGGTGTTCACCAGGGCCTGTCCGCTGCTGCACCTCTGCCGGAGTTACCTGTTAGTTTTATCTTTTTTTTTTGTCATCCTCATCTGAGGACATTTTTGCTTTATCTTCGGGGTGGGGGGAGAAAAGGAGGAAGAGAGAGGAGAGAGAAACATCGATGTGAGAGAGACACATCGAGTGGTTGCCACCCACATGACCCCAACCGGAGCCGGGGACAAACCAAAAACAAGGTACCTGCCCTTAGTGGGAATTGAACCCGGGACTGTGGTCCACTGGCTGATGCTCTAACCACTGAGCAACCGGCCAGGGTGCGTTTTATCTTTTTTAAGGGAGAGATTTTCCACCGGTGTGGGGTGAGAATTTTTAGAACATTCAATAACTATTTAGTCAGGGGCACTGACCTCTTTTTCCTTAGATTGTCAAATAGTAAAATGACAACAGCTAACACAATAGCCATCCAGTATGAATGAATCAAAGCTGCAACTTTTTTTTGGTCAGATTGGCAAAATACATTTTTTGGTGTGTGGCAGAATTTTAGTTTGTGTTCATTGAGATGGAGAAGGCTGAACATTACTGCTTTAGGTTATTAGCCTTTTCAGAGCTTTTTCCCCTGTATCAAAAAGGGTCTTACGGGCCATGAGTCTTGTATAATCAATTCAGACGAGGAGGTAGCCCAACTGGCTGGTGCTGAGGGGATGGCGCCTCCCCCCTCCGTGCTGCCCCCCCCCCCCCGAGACAACCTGCTGTGCTGTCACCGACCACCCCTCTCTACTTGCAGGACTGTCCCAGCAGCCTGTGAACCATGGTGGACTACTATGAGGTTCTGGGCGTGCAGAGGCACGCCTCCCCCGAGGACATCAAAAAGGCGTAAGTGATCGAGTTTCTGAAATAACCTGGGTGGTGGACACAGGTGATTGGGTAGTATGACTTTGTACTGCTTGTAAAAGTGCACTCAGGGTAGTATAGCAATCTCTGTCTGCATGCCCAGTTTAATTTTAATTTAATAGATTAGCTTTTGTTTTTTCAGACCTCGGCCTTGCCCTGGGTCACATGGCTTCCTCTGTCCCTTGTCTGGGGGCTGTGAATTCTGTATATACTGGAAGTCCATCAGAAACTTGTGAGGATGTGAGACAATCCCAGAGAGCCTGACATTGGGCTTTGGAGTGGAGTTGGCTTTAGCATTCGTGGGGTGAGAGAGGTGCCACAGGATCCTAGGTGGTCACCCACCATTGCTGGAGGGACCCCAGTTTGTACCTCTGATTAGGGCCCTGCCCAGGTGGCCTGGATTAGTTAATTTATTAGATGTTTTTGTTTGTTTAAAATAAATTTTTTTTTTTTTTACTGATTTTTAGACAGAAAGGGGGAGAGAGAGCAGGTGAGCGAGCCAAACATTGATATGATTGGTTGCCTTCTGCACATGCCCCAACTGGGTCTGGCTATTAAACCTGCAACCCAGGTTTGTGCCCTTGACTGGGAAGTGAACCTGTGACCTTTGGTCTCAGACTGGCACTCTAACCACTGAGCACACCGGCCAGGGCTTATACTGTTTTTTGTTTTGTTTTGTTTTGTTTTGTTTTTTAAATCCTCACCCGAGGATATTTTTCCATTTTTTGTACAGATAGAGTGGGAGGGAGAGAGAAGAAGGAGAGAGAGAGAGAGAAACATCGACGTGAAGGGACACATCGAGTGGCTGCCACCCGCACGACCAACCAGGGCCGGGGACAAACTGCAACCGAAGTATGTGCCCTTAGCAGGAACCGAACCTGGGTCTCTCCGGACCGCAGGCCGACGTTCTAACCACTGAGCCAAACTGGCCAGGGCGGCTTATACTGTTTTTGCATAAACATCGTGTGTGCAGCACATAGTGATGAAGGAGAACTTGCCTTCGTTCTGTCAGACTCAGCCAGTGGAGATTCTCGCTGTGAGAGAGTGTGGTCCAGCAGTGTCCCGGCCTGAGGTGCGAGGTCAGAGAGGCTGGTATCTGTGAAAGGGGCGAGGTCCCCGTTGTGTGCTGTGCAGGCGAATGAGTATGCACAGACTTGATGGAGCCTCGTTCACTTCATTTGTCTTTTTAATCCTCACCCGAGGAAATTTTCCATTTATTTTCAGATGGGGGGGCATTGATATGTGAGAGAGAAACCATTGGTTGCCTCCCACATGACCCTTGACTGGATCAGAACCCGAGACTCCTTGGTCCTCGGGCTGACGCTCTAACTGCTGAGGCAGTCTGGCCAGGGCGAAAAGCATGTGATTTTTACATCAATTGGCACCTTGGAACTGACTGACCTTGGTCATAGACTGTTGCATCTAGAATGGGGTGGATTTGAGAAAGACGCGGGACACTTGATGGCTGTGGCCGAGACAGCCCACCTTGGCCATACTGAGCGGGGAAGTCATAGCTGGCGAGGACACGAGGGCAGGGTCAATCCTGTGGGGGTGTCTTCCTGCTCAGTGCCCAGGGTGCCTCTCACACCCTCCTCTCAGCCTCATTGCCTGAGCTCACAACCTGCACACTTTGGTCCTCAGCCACTTAACACTTTCTACCTCTGGAGGTTGGTTTGTATTAAACGTTCTCTGGCTTTTAGAACTTGTCTTTGTTCTGGGGGAAAAGCAGAGTTTACGACTGAAAACATTTATCTCACCAGTTTGTAGCTTTAGAGCCATTGTCTCGCCTCCTTATGTTTCAGAGCCCATTGGATGTTTGGAACTTGGTTGTGATCAAGACTGTGTCACTCCTTTCTAGGTACCGGAAATTGGCTTTGAAGTGGCACCCAGACAAAAACCCCGAGAATAAAGAAGAAGCAGAGAGGAAATTCAAACAAGTAGCCGAGGCGTACGAGGTGCTGTCAGACGGTGAGTGACCGCGGGGCTGGGACCCTTGCCGGACAGTGAGTGTGGCCGTCCGAGAGGAAGCCTGCTGACTTTCCCACTGAGGGTTGACTCTTGTTCCTCGCCGTGAGTTCCAGGAGCACCCCGCTTCCTAGTGGCTTTGGTGGCTAACACACGACTGACACCCCCGTCTGAGGATGGACAGCAGAGGCTACAGGGTGTGGGGGCACTGCATGGTGTGGGGGCACCCTTTGTGGTGTAAGGACACCCATGCTCATGTCCACTGCCCTGCTGAAGGCTATGTGGCTTTTATCACTTAAGAGAACTCTTTTCGTTTGAGGACGTCAGGACTGAGTGTGCAGATGAAATGGGGACTTCTGGGTGTGTGTTTCCCACCCCCCGGGAAGAGCATAGGTACTGAGTGGTGATAAAAGTCAGATCCTTTAGCCTCATTTCCTGAGTCACGGAAAGCTTAGTGTTAGCCAGACCCAGCCCACAGCTCTTTGTGAAGGGGAGGCTGGTTTTGGGGTAGGGAGTGCTGCGTGGGGCTTTGTGACAAAGCTGGGAGACCCCTGGGTCCACCCTGCCGGGGAGCAGCACCTGCTGGCCTGGTGCGAGGAGGTGCGGGCACTGGTAAGGTCAGAGGCTGAGCCACCGGCCATGGGGCAGTTGCTTGCTCCGCGTGTCTGCATAGGTCAGGGTCACCACTGCGAGCGTTTCTGGTTGGAGCAGACTTCATTTGGTCACTCGTGTGGGCAGTCAGCACTGTCGTCGTGTCCATTAAGCACCTTCTGCATTTTAAAGGAAGGCCCAGGCATCTTATTCCACAAATAACTTCTGTTATTTGAAAGCACAGGAGCACAGGTGCCTTCACCTTGTTCCACTTGGGCAGTTAAGGTCTTAAAGTGATGCTGGAGCTTCTGAGCTGGACTAACGTGAACACAGGGGGCCCCAGTGTCCTGAGTGTGCTGACTCAGCACTCCCAGAGCTGTGCGCCCCGCAGACCAGGAACATTAGAGACGGAGGACTGAGCTCAGCCTTGCAATCACAGAAGGAGAAGCTCTAAACTCCATAAAACATTGTCGCCCTTTTTTTTTTTTTTTTATGGAGTGTGTGTTTTTCATTGTCTTTTATGTAGCCTTGGGTGCCAGCTGGGCTGCTTGGGTCATTTTCACAGATAGTTACGTTCTTCCCAGGACTCTGGCTCCCAGACCTGCCTGGGAGGGTTTGCTCCTGGCCCAGTTACCCACAGGCCCTGCGTTTTGCTGCACAGTCTGTGGAACAGGAGTGTGTGTGTGTGTGTGTGGGGGGGGCGGGATGGACGTGGTGCTGTATCAGGAGAACACACTGGTGTAAGCAGGGCTCGGCGGTAGCTCTGGATATTCGGCAGGTCATGAAGGCTCGGCCGGGCTGCTGCCCTGCCAGGGGCCTTGAGCCTGGGTTGGAGCTGGCTCTTTTTCTGGTGTTTAGTTCATGTATTTCCTACCCTCACTTCTAGGAAGGGCTTTGTGACTTGTGATGAGATTTACTGTAACACATGTGGACTCTGGGCAGTGGAGTGAACTATTTCATGTTTATAATCACGTCTCAGACTTCATGATACTTAAGTATTTTTCTGAGTATTTACGGGGAAATGTGCATAGAGCTTTCCCTCCCCCCCTCATTCACAGTGAGCTAGGCCAGCTCTTCACCGTGCTCGTGAGCACTGGGACTGCGTCCGTCTTTGACTTGAAACTTGGGAACACTTGACTGAGCTGGTACGGGAAAGGAACTTGGTCTTGATTGAGTTTTCTTTTTTGAATTTACAGCTAAAAAACGGGACGCCTATGACAAATACGGCAAAGAAGGGTTAAACGGTGGAGGTGGAGGTAGGTCCATGTGGACTTCTTTCTGCAGCAAAGGTCTTCAGAGGGTGGTGTGCCAGCTCTGTCGGACAGGGTGCTGCAGTGAGCACAGGTGCAGCCGAGGGCCTGGGCTGAGTTGGGAGCGGAAGGGCAGGTGTTTGCATAGCTCTTGGGAGTCTTCCGTGAGGCTAGATAGGAAGTAGTATTTATTACTTTGTGAGTTTGTATACCCAGATCAGTACCTGATGTTAGGACAAAGTATCCTTAGGGTTTAAACATAGATTTCACTGGAAAACTAAAATCAACGCCTCTGGTGGTAGTAAGACCTAGACAGGTGTATTTCTTTCTTTCTTTTTTTTTTTTTATCCTTACCAGAGAGAAAGAGAGGAACATCTACGTAGAGAAAATTGATTGGTTGCCTCCTGTATGGGCTCTGACCGGGGATCAACCCTGCCACCTTTTTGGTGTATGGGAGGCCTCTCCAAACAGCTGAGGCACTGGGCCAGGGCTGGACTGGACTGGTTTTGATGAAAGTCCCTGTGATGGTCTGTGGCCCTGCTAGCTCCCCGGTGCGCTTGGAATCGCTGCTCCAAACACCCCGGACAGGTTGTGAGTGTTGACACTCGTGGTTAACGGGCAGTTTCCTCATGAAAAGCAAACACGGTGCTGCTGACATGCTCAGGGTGGACGGAGGCCCAGCGGCTGCTGTGGCGCCCGGAGTGAGCCCAGTCCAGGCACTGCTGCTTCTAGACAGGGCAGGGCTGGGTTGTGGCTGTCAGAGCCTCGGGGTCTAAGTCCTTTTTTAAAAAAATATTTTTATCGAATTTTAGAGCGGGGGGTGGGGGGAGAGAAACATGGATTGGCCGCCTCCTGCACGCCTCCCACTGGGGGTCGGGCCCGCAACCTGGGCATGTGCCCTGTCTGGGAATCAAACCGGTGACCTCCTGGCGCATGGGTCAGTGCTCAACCACTGAGCCACACCGGCTGGGCTTTTCTTTTTTTTTAACTATATTTTCATTGATTTTTAGAGCGAGAGGAAGGGTGGGGGGAGAAAGATCAATGCAAAGTCCTTTTTTTAAGATCGCGATTTATATAATGTTCTCTAGACACACAGTTGCCCCTGGACACAAGAACCAATGAGCTGACATGTTCTGTCTTGTGCAGGTGGAAGTCACTTTGACAGCCCGTTTGAGTTCGGCTTCACATTCCGGAACCCAGATGACGTGTTCAGGGAATTTTTTGGTGGAAGGGACCCATTTTCATTCGACTTCTTTGGTAAGTTGATTGTCTGGGCTGCTGTCTACATGGTGTTTCCATGACTCCGGGCTGGCGAGGCCTATTCTGTTCAGTCGCTGTTGTGTCTTCTCATTCAACTTGGTGTTGAAGCAGCACAGGAGTTCTAAACTCTCTCTTCTCTTCTGCATACTTTTCTGACTTTACACCTCGCACATTACAGTAATGGAAGACCCCGTGTTCTCTCTCCATATGTGGTCCTCACTGACTGCCCTTCGCCACCTGAGCGAGGCAGAGGGTGTGCACGGGTGCTGGGCTTGGGAGTGGGAGCTGAGCTCTGATCCACCACATGGGTTCTGGCGGGAGCCCCACGCCTGTAGCACCCAGTGTGGGAGACTCTTGATCCCAGCCAGCTTGCTTTTTCATTTATTTATTTATTTTTTTAATCCTCACCCGAGGATATTTTTCCATTTTTTGTTCAGGTAGAGTGGGAGGGAGAGAGAGGAAGGGAGAGAGAGAGAGAAACATCGATGTGAAAGGGACACATCGAGTGGCTGCCACCCGCACGACCAACCGGGGCCGGGGACAAACTGCAACCGAGGCACATGCCCTTAGGGGGAACCGAACCCGGGTCTCTCCGGACCGCAGGCCGACGCTCTAACCGCTGAGCCAAACCGGCCAGGGCCAGTTTGCTTTTTTAAAGTGCGGAGTGGGGTGGTGTGTTGCCGTGTGAGCCGGGACTGCCGAATGCAGTTTGTAGAAAGAGCCAGGGCTGCCCAGGCCCTCGATCCATAAACACTTTCTAGAGGGGGCTGTGGTGTGGCCGCCGCTGCCCCACAGTGGCAGGCTGGCTCGTCTTGTCACCTTGGTCTCCGCCAGTGTCTCAGACGAGGTGGTGTTGGTGCCACTTGCCAGCCAGTGTGGCCGGAGCGTCTGTGTTGGGCGACCAGAGGTCAGGGCACCGTGCTGTCACTGTCATGTTTGTCCTGGCCCATCGCGGGGAGCACATCCTCTGTGAACCCGTCCTTCCTGGAGCGTGGCTGAAGGGACTGAACGGCACCTGCAAGCCCTCAGGCGGGACACAAGCAGAACATCCTGTCCGCAGAGCGCACGGGGACCAGTGGACCCTGTCCTCACGGCTCGAGGGACTGACTCTCGGCTGGTGGTGCTAGGTCTTCTCAGCGGTGCCGGCCTGGCTCTGAGCAGGCAGCTACAGAGGGCGGGGTTGGCATCTAATTAATGCTTGTGTATTAGCCTTTCTATGGAACAGTGAAAGCTAAGCAGAAGACTGTTCCCACGGCAGGTGGTCCTTTTGGAGATTCGCTGGGATTGCTGCTGCCCGCAGTGGAGCACACGGCTGACCTGTCCCAGCTGCACAGCCCCAGCACACTCCACTGGTGTGGTCGTGGGTAACGGCAGTGTTGGGCGACATCCTGAGTTAGGAGTAGGCTCGGGGTCTCAGGTATAAGGGGTAGAGACAGGGGAGAAGGAAGCTGAGACCTGTCCAACGTAATCTGTGTCTTTCGATTTATTGGTGTCTATTAAAGAAAAGAGCAGAGGAGGGGCTGCAGTGATCAGTGGGCCAGGTCGTTCTCCAGGGGAATCTGACAGCCCGTCCAGGCTTCTCTTTGACGTGATTTTCCCCGAGCAGCTGTCTGGAGCAGTGGTTCTCAGCCTTCCTGATCCCGTGACCCTTAATATAGCTCCTCATGTGGTGACCCCCAGCCATAAACTTCTTGCTACTTTATAACTGCAATTTTGCTACTGTTAATAATCGCCATCGGAAATACGTGTTTTCTGATGGTCTTAGGCGACCCCTGTGAAAGGTTCGTTTGACTCCCAAAGGGGTCCTGACCCCACAGGTTGAGAACCGCTGGTCTAGAGTAAGGGGTGTAGAAACTGCAAGTAGAGCTGTTGACAAACCTCCTTTCACACCTTCTGTATCGTGAGGAGTGTGTCAAGGTTTCTGGATGTGTCCGCGTGTCTCACTTAGAAGGACTGTAGGCTGTGGGCACTTGGCACATCCCGGCCGTCTCTTCTGTGGCCTCAGAGCCCACTGCCCTCGTGGACTTGGCCCGGGTCAGAGCGGCGATGCCCCTGTTGTCAGCAGGTGCCGCCGTGAGCTGTGAAGACGTGATACCTCCTCACCCGTCCCTGTAGGTGTCCTAGGCGACCTCCACCTTCAGGCCGTCAGGATTCGCACGCAGGAGGAGCTGTTCCACGGCTGTGGCGTGTACAGAGCGACGCTGCAGCCTGCTGGCGGTACGTGCGCCGAGCAGCGAGCCAGTGGTCGGCCGTCAGTGTCCGACTGCCGTGGACTCGGCCCTGCACTCGGCCCTGCCATGTGCCGCGCAGAGCAGCCTGTCGTCCCCACTCAGTGTCTCCACGATCAGCTGCAGTTCTCTCCTGGTGTGTCTGCTTCCAAAGACAGTTCAGAATCTGTCACCAGTCATTCTGAGCTGAAGTTGTTGTTTGTCAGGATGTAAACTCAGGTGTGACTGACACTCCCCAGATAGAACGGAGGGCGGAGCATGTTAGGCAGACTGAGCAGTTCTGTGCCCGAGGGCCAGGCTGTGGGAACCCTCACATCCTGACGGCAGCCTGGGCCTGGGGTCCTGCGACATTGAAGTCTCCTTGAGGGCAGGCGCCCCTGAGACCAGCATGGACGCCTGGAGGAGCCCGGCTGCCGAGGCTGCCGACGTGCAGGTCTACCCAGATGTAGGCACAGAGACGGGCCCTGGCAGGACGCTGAGGGCACGAGGAGCGGGGCTGCGTGGATCTGGAGGAGCACCTCCCTTGCCTGCTGCCCCGGGCACTCAGTGCAAGGACGTGCTCACAGGGAGCCGCAGGACGTGCTGTGCAGGAGAGCTGTCCCGTGTCGCCTGGCATTTCCCTCTCACACTGGGAAGCCAAGACCAAGCTGAAAACCCAGAACCGTTTTTCAGTCTGTTCACGTCAGCATGTTTTTCCTTCATGATGGCACCCATCTCTGAGCCGCGGTGAATGAAAAAGCTGATGGAGGAGTAACACTGCCTGTAAAGCAGACCCGGGAACGCAGCTCGGAGGAAGCTGGTGGTGCTGAGCCCGGGCCCGTGTGCTGTAGTGAGCGTCACTTTGCTCTCCAGGGTTCGAGGAGGTGGACAGTGAGGAGCTGGAGCCCGGGGAGGAGCTGGAGCAGCTTCGTGGGGCCGAGCCAGCGGAGGACGCCCTGAACGAGGGGCACAGTGACACCCTGGAGGTGATCTCCAGTGAGCTCGAGGGCCTCAGTGAGGAGGAGCCGAGCGAGGGCTGCAGCTGGGGCCCGGCCGAGCTCCTGAGCGAGGAGCTGGAGTTCATCTCCAGTGAGGACGAGGAGGCCACCAGTCCCGGGGACGTGGAGGAGCTCAGCGAGGACTGCGAGGAGGTGCTGAGCGAGGACAGCGGCCCAGAGCTCGAGGTGCTGCTGGCACACCTGGACTGGGACAGCTGGCTCCCAGGAGGGCGGCTGCAGGGGCGCATCTAGAATAAAGACTCTGCTCTGCTGCCTGGTGCAGCGCGTCCTTGGTCAGGCGGCTGGTGTGGCAGCAGCTGAAGACGTCCAAGGCCAGCAGGGGTCTGGAAGCAGCTGTTTCTCGGGGTCTTTTCCTGTGCAGGGTCCTGGGGCCAGCACCCCAGCGCCAGCAGCTAGAGGAGTCCAAGATGAGGGCCTGAGGGGTGGCTGTGAGGGAGAGTCCCCTGCAGGTCTCTGTGGCTCCTGGTGACTTCAGGGCCCTCGACATGTGGGTGTCTGTGCATCGTGTTCCCTGGGCTTGTCTCTGTCCAGACCCCTGAACAAGGACGCCAGAGAGAGTGGGTTAGAGCCCATCCTGATGTGCTCTTTCCAGGCACGGTGACCTCGTTGGTCCTGCAATCAGGAGCTGAGCAGCCCATCTGGGCCACAGCTCAGCCCAGAGCGTGGTCTTCCTAACAAAAGTCTGTTCAGCTCAAGAGCAGCGGATTGAAAAGGAGATGGAGGGGACCCTTTACAGCCAGACCTGCTGAGAGGAACCAGGATCCATGCAGAGCCACGTGTGCACTGGGGGGGAGCCAGGAGTGACCTGCGCCTGTGTGGTTTCATCTATGAGAAGGCGCCTGCGCGGGGGTGTGGAGGACAGCGGGGCGCCACTGCGATCCCAGGAGAGAGTGCTGTGCATCGCGGGCAGCCCAGCCTCTGCCCGAAACTGTGTCCTGCCAAGCCCGTGGCCACAAGTCAGGGAGGGGAGCAGTCTTTCCACTGGTGTCCCTGCCTGTTTCCCTGGCTGGTGGGGGAGGGCCAGTGCTCTGGTGAGACGTCCCACAGAACAGAGACGTGGCTGTGCACTGGGAGCGAGTGGCGCTGCCTTGAGAACAGCTCTTTTCATCGGAGATGATGTTGGCGGGTGAGGGTGGACGCTGTGTGGGTGGTGGTCAGCCGCTGCTCAGGTGTTGCCAGGGTAGAGGTAGCAGGGAGAGGGATGGGGTCTGGGAAGGTCATTCGTCCTGAGAATGCAGTGGTTCCTGGGCCTCCACCTGCAGCAGGGGAGCTGGCACTTGCCTCGGGCTGGTCCTTGTTCTTCACGTAGTCTGCAGGCGCCCCGTGGGTCAGAGTGTTCCTGAGTCCCTTGTGGGCTTTGCTCATCTCTGTCTTGTGGAATTCTGCCCCCTGTGGTTGGGGGAGCTGCTTTCTTCTGGACGGCGGCAGAGAAGGTGCCGGTGGCTGCAGGAGCAGAGTGAAGGCAGAGGAGGGGACAGAACGGATATCCACAGGATGAAATACACGGTTTTCCTTCTGGATCCTTCTGTGATGAGGTAATTTCTGTGGGGGTGAATTTATGGAACACGAAACGGGATCGTCGTGGTCCAGCGTGTGCACCTTGGTTCCTTGGAAAGGTGATCGCAAATCTCAGGAAGGACAGTGCTGCAGACAGACCGAGGCTGAGACTAGAAGTCATACTTTGTGACGGTGATTATGGGAAGTTGAAAGTGTGCCTGCTGTTGAGTGCCAGGCACCCCAAGCCCCTTGAGGGGGCTGGTCTCCAATGTAATGGCTACATTCTGAATTGGCTGCCACTTCTGGTTTCTCCCAAATAGGTTTTTTGCTTCTGAATATGTAAGAAATGCTATTTTTAAGATTTGCGTTACCGCCGAGTGTTGTGACGTTGACTTGTCCTGGGTTGGCTGTGCGATCTTGTCCAGGAATCGGGTGTTCTCTGTTCCGAGGGCTGCGGTGCAGCTGAGCTGCGAGACTGCTGTCCAGGCAGTGTCCCTGGGCCGCAGTGCTGCGCTTGTGTGTGTTGTCCTCGGCACCAGAGTCCCTGTGCTCTGGGAGGTCGCAGTGCGGGACTCTGGGCACCTGGGGCCTCGCCTGCAGCCCCTTGTTGTGGGGCCAGAGCTGGATGTAAGCTGGCTTCTCCCAGATACGGAATCTTGGTAAAGCTTAAGAAAATGTAGGTATGGGTTGAAACAGCTTTCACTGAGTGTTTTTGTTTTTTGTTTTTTAATCCCACCCGAGGATATTTTTATATTTATCCTCAGACAGAGTGGGGGAGGGAGGGGGGGAGAGAGAGAGAGAGAGAGAAACATCAGTGTGAGAGAGACACATTGACTGGTTGCCACTTGCATGACCCCAACTGGGGCCTGGGATGAACTGAAACTGAGGTATGTGCCCTTGGCTGCCATCAAACCCGGGACTCTGGTCCACAGGCCAACGTTCTAACCACTGAGCCAAACCGGCCAGGGTTCACTGAGCTATTTGTTTTAAGGCTTTGTGTGTGTGTGTGCTGTGCTTAGCTGTTTCACCACTCAGCTCAAAACATTATTTTTTGTCAGAAGTTTGACTTAGGCTGTCGATGAGTCTGGTGCAGTGACTGCCCCTCTTGTGTGCGGGGAGTGAGCGAGCCCCTCAGCGGTGCCTGAAGCCTGACAGCCCCAGACGAGCCCTGCGTGGGCTGTGCTCGTCCCCACACACGTCCTCGCTGTGCGTGTGGCTCCTTGATGAGTGAGGCGTGTAAGAGATTCATGGTAACTATAGCAGACAACTACAGTAGTGCACTGGGTGTGAGTGTTGGGGATGGTCTCAGTGTCCCGTGTGTTGCATGTGCAACAAAGGGATGATCCGCGTCCACCATGGGGTGAGCGAGATTTTGTTGTTTCTCTGAGTGGGCTTGGGATTTAAAACTTACGAGTTGTTTATTTCTGGGAATTTCCATGAGAATTTTTAGGCTGCAGTTGACTGCAGGAAACCGAAACCTCAAGTAAAGGGGAAATCTCTGTTCTTTGCTAATGTCACGGACCCTGGAATAACACTGCCACTGAGACTTGGGAAATGGTCAAGGAGACTCTTTCATGCTCTGGACTGAGGTTCTCCAGAGACACACCAGGGTCTGGATCTCGGTCTCCATCCTGTCTGTGCCCGAGGCATTCAGTGGACTGTACACGAGTTCAGAACCCGAAGTGCTGATGCCCAGCCCCAGGCCAGAGGCTGCCATGCAGTCTCCTTGGGGAGGGTCAGCCTCTGGTTCTGGGCAGCCGCCTCGGGGAGGGCAGTCTGCTCTGCTCAGTCCACTGACCTACGTGTGAATTTCCTTCAGAGACACACTGAGGCCCCTTCAACCTGATGTGTACAATTACCTCCACAGTCCACCCCTTGTCAGCTTGGCACCGTGCTCACCATTTCCTTAGACTGGACTCACCTCACTGTGAAGAAAGACAACTGTCCTGCCCGCGGCCGAGAACACACTGATATTTCCCCTGTGGGAGGCGTGGGCCCTGCTTCCCCATAGGGGCAGCTGTGACTCTGGGTCTGTGTCACGCCTCACATGGTACGGGGGGGGGGGGCAGGAGACAGATGTCTGCTCACTGTCTGCTGACAGGTTTGCACAGGCCACATTCCCGACACACAGGAGGGTGCTCGTGGCCGTGGCTCGCTCCCCGTGTCTGGGATGCTGCTGTGGGTGCGGCTGGTGTGAGAGTTGCCTCCTGCTTATCACCCACCCCCTTACCCTCTGTGGGTGGCTTGGTGGGCAGGGTGCCCTGTGCCCAGTTGGGGACAAAAGGACTTGTCATGCTTGCTTATTTTCATCTGTCTTATTCATGTTTATGTTTGAAACATCAGTGTATAATGTTTGTCCTTTTTAACCGTAAAAATAACATCAGAAGCGTACCAGTGTGAGAATTTGGGCCATGGCGGCCGGAAGGAGTTGGCCTTTGTCTCGCTCCGGTGCAAAGGCTGAGATGTGGCTCGGACCCCACGGCTGTGACGTGTGCGTTGTGTTCTCCTCCCTCCATCTGAGTTCAGTGCTCGGCCGTGTGAAACCTGCACCGAACACACTTTCTCTGTCTCCACTTTATTTTCAATATAAGCACCACTTTGAACTCTTTTAGTGCAGAGAGTTATATCCATGTTTGAGATAAGTTAGTTATTTTTTTAAGTAGAATTGCTGGGTTGAGGGTTTTTATTTTTCACTTGATTGGTTTTAGAGAGAAAGGGAGAGGGAGAGAGAAAACATTAATGTGAGAGAACATTGATTGGCCGCCTCCTGCACGCCCCCCACTGGACCAGGCCCACAACCTGGGCATGTGCCCTGACTGGGAGTTGAAGCGGCGACCTCTTGGTGCAGGGTTGATGCTCAATCGCTAAGCCACGCCAGCCAGGCTAAACCAACTTTTGAAGTAGTTTCTAAAGAAGGTGGTTTTATAATGATGCAAGTCTTAATTTAGCTGGCGTATCATGTTCCGTGGACACTGGTGTAAGTTGTCCCCCAAAGTGTCCCACACTGCTTAGGGATTTTGTTGCTGTGGGAACCTAAAGACATCATGACCAGCCTCTCTGGCAGTGGGGGCCCAGTGGCCGTGGCAGAGGGACTCCGACTGGGTCTCAGGGTGATGCACTGGGGTGCCTTTCGCTTCCAGGAGTGTTGTCGCGTCTGCAGTCGGACCACAGCAGGGCCCTGTTAGAGCCCAGCAGCCTGCCCGCCGTCATGTCCACTGAGGTCTGCTGTGCCTGGTCCTTTAAAGAGTATTTCTGAGCCTGGCCGGAGCGTTGGCCCAGGCACCAAGGGGTTGCCAGCTCAATTTCCCGTCAGGGCATGTGCCCAGGTTGTGGGCCTGATCCCCAGTGGGGGGCATGCAGGAGGCGGCCAGTCAGTGCTCTCTCTCATCCATGTTTTTCTCTCTCTCTCCCTCTAAAACAAAGAAAAAAATGAAGAAGTTTTCCTAGATGTCAAGTTTACAGAGAAATTGAGCGGAGTTCTTACATCTGAGACTCAGCGTTACCAGTCTCTCCCTATGTGTTGTAGATGAATGTTCGAATAATCCATTTTTGTTTGTATTTCTGACTTTGGGGAAGGCAACCCAGATGTTTTGGAGTGTGAGTGCCCGAGTCCCTGGGTGTGACCTGGTGCAGGGCGTGTCTCAGCCTCGTGGAGGCTGCACGAGGGCAGCACAGAGCCCGTGTCTGTCCCCAGGCCTGGCTCGGGGGGCAGGGACTCGCTGCTCTGTAGACGAGGTGCACGGCTGCTGCTCCCAAGCTTTCCAGTCCTCGTGGGCTAGTGTTTCGAAAGGCGTAACCCTTTTCCCTTTTGCAGCTGTCCCTGAATCTTGAACCAATATTTTTACAGCATCCTTTGTTTGTTTCCAGAAGAACCGTTTGATGGCTTCTTTGGGAATCGGCGGGGCCCCCGTGGGAGCAGGAACCGGGGCACGAACTCCTTCTTCTCAACCTTCACCGGGTTTCCGTCTTTCGGAGGAGGGTTTTCGCCGTTTGATACAGGTACTGAATCCTCAGGTTGATCTCTGGTGTCTGAACCGACAGTAGTGCTGCTGCAGTGAGACCTGGGTTCTCTGGGGAGCAGCCTTGTAGGTGCGACAGAGTTACCCGTGCCTGCAGGTCTCTGCTCGCCGACTCCGTGCTTCTGATCTTCCCAAGAACCTGAAAACCCATTTCTGCTCTTCCTAGTAGATAACGAAGTTCCTAGCTAAGAGGACCGGTGGGTTTGGGCAGTAGGAGTTTAGTGACGCACGTAGGCCGTCTCCCTGAGCCTCGTCTATCCACCTCGGCACTTAGCTCACGGGGGCAGTGCCCAGCAAGTGCACGGGTGAGCCCGGGGGGCGCTAGCACGGCCCGTGCCCGGTGCAGCCGCGGGACGTAGACGTCCAGCCGTGGGCACAGTGCTAGTGCTCGGAAGGGCGGGTCAGCACCACGCACTGCGGCCCTGAGAAGGAGAACCTGTCGTGGGCCTGCTGTCTGTTTGGGTGGCTTGTTTTTTGTTTTAAATGCGCTCTGGTAAGAAATTGTCAATGCTCTGTTAGTCTGCCTGCGTAGTGCAGCTCAGAGACACCCCCCCCCCCCCAAATTGCACCTCAGGGAGGGGCACAGTCCCCACGTGTTGCTCTGCAGCAGGTCCTCAGGTGCCAGCACTGTGTTGACATCAGCGCTGAGGCTCCAGGGAGAGGGCAGCAGAGCTGGTGGACGGCCACCGGGACACGGGACAGTCTGTCTGGGGCTCGTGAGGTGTCATGTGGCTCCAGGCTCCTCTACACCTGTACTGTCCTGGACGGTGGCCACAGCCACGGGAGCTGAGCTCACACCACAGCCCGTCCCCACCTGCACGAGCGCTCGGGCAGCTCTGTTGTGTCGCACACGGTCCTCTTGGGGATAATCTGGGTTAATAGTGTGAGAATCAATCCTGCCAGTTGCTTTATAATTTCTGGTGAGGCTGTCAGAAGATCTAAAATGACAGGTTTGGCTCGCGTTCTGTTTCTGGTGGACGGCCTGGTGCTGGACAGTGTGAGCCCAGATGGCTGAGTCCGGCGCAGGGACTGGGGGCTTCCGTGTGGACAGGAAGCAGCCTTGGGGTGGCCTGTGCGCACTGGGGCTCGATGCCCTGCGACTGAGACTGCTGTCCCCGAGCCACAGGCCTCACGGCTCAGGCTCCTGTGTAGACTTTGTTCTGAGGCTACTTTAGCTTTTTCTTATTCTCACCCGAGGGCATTTTTCCATTTATCTTCAGATAGATGGGGGGGGGGGGGAAGGGAGGGAGAAACATAGGCTGGTTGTCTCCCGCACAGCCTGACCAGTGCCAGGGACAAACTACACCGAGGTCGGTGCCCTTGACCAGAATCGAACCTATGACTCTTTGGTCCACGGGCCGACCCACCCTCTGCTGAGCCAAATGGGCCAGTACTACTTTAGCTGTTTAATAATTCAGGTATTTGTCGCCTGTAGTCACACTGCAGATCGGGGGTGGTAAGAGGGTTGGTGTGCCATCCTGTCTGCAGTGGTGAGGCCGCTCTGTCCTGTGAGGCCCGGATGTGTGCGGCCGTCCCAGGTCCTCCATGAAGCTTGATGCCTAGGGGGTCCCCAGGCCCAGCCAGTGGGTGTGAAGGGCAGGAGGGGAGGTGACAGAGCAGGAGCCGGCTGTCGTGGCCCTGGCCGTGCTGTGGGTCAGCGCCCTGCTCACTGAGGTCTGGTTCGGACACATGGGAGGTTCTGTAATAAATGCTGGTCATGTTAGTCTCTGATCTTGTTTATTTCTTTATTTCCTGTAGGATTTTCTTCGTTTGGGTCCATAGGTCCCGGGGGCCTCACTTCGTTCTCCTCCGCGGCATTCGGTGGTAGTGGGATGGGCAACTTCAAATCCGTGTCGACTTCTACCAAAATGATTAATGGAAGAAAAATCACTACCAAGAGGTACAGCTGTCTCCCGTATTTCATGTGTTTAATAAGGAGGTGCGATGGTGCATGGTGCCCCATTCCCTTCCCTCGCCCCAAGGGAGAGATGGGCCGGACTTGAAACCAGGCACCCGAGAGTCTCCATCTCCCCCCAGGCTTCTCTGGCTTCTGCTTGGTGTCAGGTCGCCAGCATCCTCACGCGGAGCCGTCCTCACGCAGAGCAGTGTGGGCGCGGGTGGGCTTGCAGCACAGCCAGGAGGGTGGAGACACCCTTGGGAGTGAAAGCTTTGCCATTTTATTTGTTGAGTTTTTATGAGTTTATCTGAGCCAGTCTGATGACAGCCGCCCGGGAGCAGGATCCAGGTGCGCCCTGGCCCCGCGCGCTGAGCACTAGTGTCGCAGGTGCGCGGGGCCTGTGCTGCAGGCTGCCCGCCGCTGGGCCGAGTCTGCTGACAGGTGATCACAGGGTGGCCGCAGCTGCATGTTCGCCTCGGTGGCGGCGTTTCGTGTGTGTGTGTGTGTGTGTGTGTGTGTGTGTGTGTAAGTGATGTTCAATATTCATTTATATTCACTCCTATTTACTGCAAACAAAGTGTTTAAAACTGCGTTTTTTCCTTCAGAATTGTCGAGAACGGTCAAGAAAGAGTAGAAGTTGAAGAAGACGGGCAGTTAAAGTCCTTGACGATAAATGGTAAGGAGCAGCTGCTGCGCTTGGATAACAAGTAATTCCACGCCGCGTGTAGCAGGAATGTTAACTGTAACAGCACCGTTTCAGGATTAACAGGAACCTTTTTTTGAAGATTTCAAACGAACTCGACTTTCAGTATAACTGTACCTAATCTAAAGTATTTATACACAGCTCACTGGAGCCTGTCTGTCCTAGACTGTTGAGTTTATTGTTGGGACCACATGATAGGACCATTTTATTTTTGGTCTTTAAAATTGTTGTAAATCTCTGTATGCACTTTGCTTTTTATTGAACGTGATCCAAGGCGGCCGTGCCTTCCGTGCACTAACACCAGCATGGCCTGCTCTCCACTGTGAGCGTGCCCGAGCAGTGCCCGCCTGCTGTGGCGCCAGCAGTGCCAGGACCGGCTTCCACAAGAGTCAGTGTCTGTCAGTGTTGAGTAGTGAAGATGTCAATGCATCCGTGGTAACACATTTCTGCTTAATATAAACTGAGGATGTTCTCTAGCTGTGCATGAGTGCTGGCAACGTAGTGAGTTTGGACAATTGTTTAAATATGTACTGTTAAGCTTAGGTTTAAAAAAGTAAACTGGGTCTTTGTTATTGCTTAAAAAAAAAAAAAAGAAAATAAATGCGATGTGTTTGGTGCATTCTTTCCCGAGTGGGGCCGCAGCCTCCTGTGTCTGTGTGGTTCGGGGCCGGGGCCTCTCGCTCCCTGTCTGCCCTGGGCGTCGAGGGGCGGGCGCCACCTTCGTTGGAAACTGGGTTTGTTTTCTTCAGGTATTTGGGGAGTGGATGCAGACTCCTGTTTCTGTTATATAACGATGAGCAATTTATTGAATGTTTCAATACGGCGACACTCCTATGGGGAGGGAAGAAGCAACCGTCCAGTTTTTGTTCAAAGTGTGTTGTGGTTTCCTGAGTTATGTCTGATGCCAGCTCAACCAAGACACTCGGCACAGTAACATCACGAACGATGTCGTGCGGTGAGATAAGGGCGCTGCACTGTTCTTCAGTCTGAGAGTTGTCCTGGTCACTGGTCGTCAACAGGGCTCAGCCAGAGGGCGCTGAGTCAGGCCTGCATTGGACTTAAACCACCCACGCGGCTTTGTTTCAGAAATAAACAGGATGAAAACTGTTGGAATAAGGGAGTTCCTAAGGGTTCCCATCAGACAGGCTTTGTGGGAGAGCACGTGGAAATTGCCCTTGGTTCCATCCAGCCTGTACAGAATCTGAACGTGCTGTTATTTAAAGCAAGCGGAAGTATTTTAAAATGTAGAAGCTATAGAAACAACGCATCACAGAATTTAATGTAAGTGTTCCAAGGCAATTGAACTCAGGAAAGCCATGGAAAATGCTGTGTGTGGTCTCGGCCCTGAGCACCTCGCACAGGGACATGTGTGCACGTCTCGTGTGGGACAGTCGCAGGGCTGGCTTCCGCACCAGAAAGCCCGCTTGTCACGGCGCTGCTGGAACACGCGGTCTCCGTTGCTAGGAACTCGAGCAAACGCTTGAACTCTCAGTTTTGTGTTTCCCACGCGTGGGTGGGATGAGCACTTAATGGGGAGGCTGGTCAGTCCCTGAGGGGACTTGGGGAAAGTGAAGTGCCGAGTGCCCCGTGTGGTTGGTTTCCCGGGAGGTTGCTGCTGGCCGCTCTGCATCTGAGAGCACCCTGGGGGTCCCCGGGACTGGGGTGCCGCCCAGCTGTGCGCAGACCTCATGGGTCCCAGGGGAAAGGTTTTCATCGCTGGGCACCGTACACACTTTCCCACATTTCTTGCTGTGTTTTCTTTCCTAGTCATTAGTACAGGTGTTAGACTTCTTGTTTCTGGCTTCCCAGGAGGCTGGTTTGCAATAATTCCCACTGAGGGGTTATGCTTTCGGCCGCTTCTGTTCCTTCCTGGAGAGAGAAGTCATCCATGGGGACCTCGTGCAGGCAGGTCAGGCCCGGTGCTCGGTGTGTGTGTTCATTTGGGAGCCTCGAGCTTCCCGCCCCCGTCACCTGGTCTGGGTGCTGCGTCCAGGTACGATGTCTCTGAAAACTGCCCATCAGGACTGACGTGTGGGTTTTTTCTTGGTCACGAGGTTCAGAAGATCTGTTTTCGCCGGAGGTGTGTGTACTGCTGGGACGGGAGGGTCTGGTCAGTCTGGGTGGACTTCGGTCTCGCTCCTGTCCTGTCGGGGCTTCCAGGCGCCTGCCTGTTCTGTGTGGTCCGTTTCCAGACTGCGGTGTCTGACTTCAACCCTGCTTCCCTTTCTTTGTTAACTGTGCTTCTGCAGAATATTTTCAGCCTTTTGTTCGCAAATGCGAATTTACAAAAACACTTCCGAGTTCAACTTACAAAATGGTCTTCATTTCTGCTTTCTAAGTTGTGCCTTTTATTTCCATTCCAAGCACGGCCCATGGAAATCTGTTGTCTGGGGTTCAGGGACCACAGTTTTCACCTCGTCCCTCGTGAAGCTTCCTTCTGCGAGGCCTTCCCGCGGTTAGAAGTGGCTGCTGCTCTATGGAACACCGCGCGGGCTGCGGTTTCTGCAGTTTCTGCGGTTTCTGAGCCAGGCAGCCAGTCATTTCTGTGTGGGCTTGCTCCCCCAAGGATACTTTGTTTCCACTGATTTTTTATTTTTTTTTTAAGAAAGGGGGGGAGCGAGAAACATCAGTGTGAGGAAGAGAGTGATTGGTTGCTTCCTGCACGCACCCTGATGGGCCAGGGATTGAACCTGTGACCCAGGCCTGTGCCCTGGACCGGAACTGAGCCTGAGACCCTTTGGTGCTCAGACCAAATGGTCTAACCACTGGGCCACACCGGCCAAGACTAGAGTCTGATTTTTTTCTTTGTTGATTTTAGAGAGGAAGAAAGGGGAAGGAGAAATGTTGATGAGAGAGGACACGAGTTGGCCGCCTCCTACAGGCTCCACTGGGGACCGGGCCCACAGCCTGGCACGTGCCCTGACGGGAGCCGGATCGGCGGCCTTTTTTTTTTTATTCTCCAGGACATTTTTTCATTTTTTGTTCAGACAGAGTGGGAGGGAGAGAGAAACAGCGACGTGAAGGGACACATCGAGTGGCTGCCACCCACACGACCAACCAGGGCCGGGGACAAGCTGCAACCGAGATACATGCCCTTAGCCGGAACCAAACCCGGGTCTCTCCGGACCGCAGGCCGACGCTCTGACCGCTGAGCCAAGCCCGCCAGGGCAGACCGGCGACCTCTTGGTGCAGGGTTGTCGCTCAACCACTGAGCCACATCGGCTGGGCTAGAGTCTAATTTTTATTCTCCAGTTTGGAAATATTTTGTCCTTGCCCCACTGAAATGTGGTAATTTGTGTACACTGTCAGCTTGCTCAGATTCTCTCTCAGGGAATGAATTAGTTAAGGGCTGACTTTTAAGACAGGGAAAGACGTTTGCCTTACCAGTCAGAGGAAGGTGTGTTCCTTCTGCACCTGAAGGTCTGATGTCAGCAACACAGGTGTGGGCTGTGTCCCCCTGCTACAGGGTGAAAATTGCTTCGTGAGCAGCTGGGGGGGGCAGGGGTGCATGTGAAAGAAGCCCCTCGGCCTAGGGCAGGGCATACAGCATTGCCGAGTGTGAGACCCTTGGTGGTTCATGTAATAGGAAGGTGGCATCTTTCAGGTTTTTTTAAATTTTTTTTATCCTCACCCGAGGACATTTTTCCATTTTTTGCACAGATAGAGCGGGAGGGAGAGAGAGGAAGAGAGAGAGAGGGAAACATCGATGTGAAAGGGACACATCGAGTGGCTGCCACCCGCACGACCAACCAGGGCCGGGGACAAACTGCAACCGAGGTACATGCCCTTAGCGGGAACCGAACCCGGGTCTCTCCGGACCGCAGGCCGACGCTCTAACCGCTGAGCCAAACCGGCCAGGGCGCGTCCTTCAGTTTTGAAGAGAATTTCACAGGAATGTTAGGTGAGTGGCCATTGCTCGAGGGGCTCCCCAGTGCCACTGCCTCTGCTCCTGTGGGCCCATGAGAACGACTACAAGTGTTCCTTGGCACATGTCTTGCTTAGCCAAAGAGGTTTTTAAAAAATGCATGTTTAACAGATGTTAACATTTCAAAGAAGACTGAAGAACTTCAGAAGAAACTAGAAGCACCCGTCATGAAATTGTATTCAGGTTCAGTTGTACGTCTTCAGAACAATCAGATTTTATGGATGTGCGACCCTGCAGAGGTTAGAGGTTCCTTCTGTTCTGAGTGAGACGTGTGTGCCATTTCAAGATGTACTTCGATTGCTTGTTTTGGCAGCCTCGGTCCATCTTGAGCTCGTACCTCATACGCAGTCCCGTCGCTGCAGGCGGCCCTGGACACCCAGCTGGGAGGCGGTGGGGCAGGTGGCTGCCCCGCACAGCAGGTGTGCCGGGGCTCTGGGGCCTGAATTGTGTTAGTTCCCGACGTCTGGGAACTGAGGCCTGCAACAGTCCTCCCCAGGTCCTGGTTGTTGAGAGCCTGAGGCTACAGGGAGGTCCCTGCAGGGAGAGGGTGTGGGTTCGATTCCCAGTGCGCTTCACTGCCCCTCTGCTGCCTGTCGGTGAGCAGGGCCCGCAGCTGGGGCTGCAGACGAAGACGTGGAGGCTGGTGTGGCCATGTGCCTCGATCCATGGTTTCCATGGTTTCCTCATACCTCACCGCCCTCGGGGGGTGGCGACGGCATGCCGGCCGGGCCCGGGGTGCAGCTGCCACCTCAGCTCTCGGGACAGGACAGGCTGCGGGCACAGGGCTGGGGACCCCCCCCCAGCATGTCTGCACCTCATCTCCGGACGGTGCTGCAGAGGAGTCCCCTCCAGCCCGTGTGTGAGCCGCTGCAGGTCGTTGCCAGGTGCCGTCTCGAAACCAACACCTGCCTTCCCAAGAAGGCCTATTGGCTGTCTGAACGCCTGTGACGTCCGGACAGACGGGCGCTGGGACGTGGACGTGGTCACACTGAGGCAGCAGATGCCTGCTGGGGGCCGAGGGAGCTGCCCTGGGTGCTCAGCGCAGTGG